ACTCTGAATCAAAGAATGTCTCTTTGGTATTCTAAAACTTAACTTATTAAGAGTTTTAAAACATTTACTCCTCTGAAAACCTCACCATTATGAATGGAGGACAGATTATAGTAGAAAATGTCAATATTTGGTGAGAAGTTTAATATATTAATTATTGCTAGGTAATATTTATTGAGTACCTACTACATAATAAGTGTATACTATCTAAATTGCTTTCCATGGATTATCTCATTTGATTCATCAGCAAGAGTATAAATAGAAATTATATATATACCCATTTTGCAGATAGAGTAAGCTTAGAAGTGTTAAGAAATGACTAAAGTTAGAAAAATTGTACTTGCTAAAGCCCAAATTGGAAACCAGGCACCCTGATTTCAGAATCTGAGCTCTTCAATGCTGTACCATATCACTAGACCAGTTTCCTGAATCAACAAAAGTAAACAAAACAAAACAAAACAAAAAAAACCCAAAAAGTAGAAAAAAATTTTTTACTTGAAGTCATCCAAATGCCGTGTCTTTTAAAAAATTTAGAACCTCTTTAAAAGTCCCTTCATCTGATGATTTGCTGGAATACAGTGCTGACACATTTTTAATTTTACTGAAGGAAATAAAAAATGAACAACAGAATGAAAGTATAGATGCTGTCACACCAAACATCATTCAACATCGAATGATATCTATCCAAAGTCTAACAATCATTACCCAAGCAGAAATATTCTAAAAGAGTGTCTGCTTGAATAATTTACTCCATTTAATTATTAATTTTTTTCAAAAAAATTACAGATTATGCCATTTATTATGCTTGTATAAGTAAATATTTGTCTGCTTTACAGGGGAAGCAGTTTTGAACTAGAAGTTCAATGCTTGATTTTTAATCCAGTCTTAACCACTTACTAGTTCTGTACAACCAGATAAGTCTTGCAAGACTTTGAGCCTATTTCATTATTACAATATGGGAACCATAAAATACTACTATAATGTTTTGCAGATTTTTAAAGATAAGTATCAAATAAGAAAATATATGTAATAACACTTTTAAGGGTGTTAAGTTTTAGACACTATTATTGTGTTACTGACTCACTATTGTTGGAATATATAGTTAGAAGGTTTGTTCTGGCACAAATTTGTGAGACAGCTGGTGAGAACTAAGGGCGCCATTTGGACCAAGAAATAGAACACAGCTAATTGGCTACACAGGGACTCACCCATGTCCTTAGCCTCATTAACTCTGTGCTTTACTAAGCAAGCACACTAGTGTTCACTCACTCATCAACCTACCTTTAATGAGTCTAGCCTTCAGGTGGGCATTGGTGATATAAAAATGAATGAACTATGGTCTCTGCCCTCAAGGAGCTCACAGTCCAGCAAAGGAAAAGGAGGCAGATAAGTAAAATAGTAGTTAGCATACTGTATAATAAATCAGTGCCACAACAGAGATTTATGAAAGTGCTTAGAAGGCACTGCCAGTGCTGACTCGAGAAGCACGGCATCCATATCCTGTGACAGAATTTGTTGAGCCTAAAATTCTACTTCTTAAATCACTTTAAATCCCACAGTTGAAAAATAGTTAATCTCATTCCTCATTTGGAAAAGTCAAAAGTACTTTTTTTTTTTTTTTTTGCATTTAAACAATGAACATTTAATATCTCACAGTTCCTGTGGGCCAGAAATTCGAGAATAGCCTACCTGGGTTTTTCTGCCTCAGGGTTTCTCATGTGGTTGCATTTAGCATGTCAGCAGTGGCTGCAGTCATTTGAAAGCTTGAACATGATTAGAGGGTCAGTTTCTAAAATGGCTCATTCGCATGACTGTTGGCAGGAGGTCACAGTTTGTGTCTGGCTGTTGGCAGGAGTCCTTAGTTCCTTGCCATGTGGACTTTCCCCTAGGCTGCTTGAGGATCCTCATGACATGGCAACTAACTTCCTCCAGAGTGAGCAAACCAATAGAGAGTGGGCAAAGAGGAAGTGGCAGTACCTCGTGTGACCTAGTCTCCAAAGTTACACACTGTCAGTTCTACTCAAAAGTGCCATTTTAAAGTGACCCATAATTTAATGGAAAGCTTTCATTTAAGAACAGAACTTAACGTGTGTTTTACTACCATGTAATCTATGCTAGGCCCATCTTTCCAAATTGCGTAAGATGGTTTACTTCCAAATATTTGTTCTCCTATTCATTATTTACTTATATAGAACTAGAAATGCTAACTTGCTATTTTAAACATAATCATGTTTTTCTCTGCCATTATCTGACAACTAATCCATTTAGCCAATCCATTTGCCTGGGAACAGAGAGCCAATGATTGGTCAGAGTTTTGTTTTTTAAAAAATTAATAGTGAGGTTCAATGGTTGATTACCAATTCCCTAAAATAAAGATTAAGATTTTCTAAAAAACTGCAAATACAATTCCATGCACACAGGATTGGTTTATGCTCTTACAAGGATTCCTCTATTGCTTAAAGCCAGATATACAGGCCATAACAGAATTCTACGACAATGACCCCTTTACTTGATTCTTTTGGTTTAGTCAAGCTTCACCGCTATTGTTCTAAAAAATAACCAGTGACCCAGGTTCCTTGCTCTTCTTCCACTTGAACCATAAACGAGACAAATGATCTGGCTCAGCTTATGTCTTGGGGTATGAGAGGTGAATGGTACCCTAGAGGTTTTACTTTTTCTGAAATGACTGCTGAAGCATTTGGAGGAGAAATGATCTTATTATTTAATCCATCCATCTGTAAGTTTTGAGGCATGTACCTGTGGATGGGGTGAGTGTATAAGTAGAAATTACTTCTTACCCTGTTGTTTAATGTTATTAATTCCAGACTGTGGAAAGCTCTGTAGAAACAGAATGCATCTTACTGACAAGAACATGGCTCTTACTGTTGTAATCTCGTCATTGTAATTATACATTATTCAAATCAGGTACTCAGTAGTGAAAACTAGTTGTCAAAAGCCAAAAAATTTCTACTAGGGATTTTGATGTCCCTGGAGGTCAATAAAGTCATAAAGCTCTGCCACTCTAACAGCAACATATTTTGTTAGAAGTCAGTGTCCCTCAGATACATGATTCCTGCAACTTACAGAGATATAAACAATTTCCATTTTGAAATATATGACCAGAATCCTGATTATTAGAGCTTAGCACTGCATTCATTAAAACACGTATACTGGCATTGAAGCATTCATGAAACATTATTTCTTCTTTCCAATAAAAACTAGTGATTACCACCCCTGGTGTGATTCATTTCCTCTATGAGAGTATTTGAATTACAGCAATATTTTCACAACTCTTCATGGCACTACATACATTTCTTTTCTTCTTTTTCTTTTTTTTTTCTTTTTTTTAGTCTTGCTATGTTGCCCAGGCTGGGGTGCAATGGCACGATCTTGGCTCACTGCAACCTCCGCCTCCCAGGTTCAAGTGATTCTACTGCCTCAGCCTCCTGAGTAGCTGGGATTACGGGCACCCGCCACCATGCCCGGCTAATTTTTCTACATGCATGTTTTATAGATCACTCATGGCTAGAATCATCTTTCATTTATTTCCTTCTGTGGGTTTAAGCATGTACATCACTGACATTAGATCCAAATTTACTGAAGATGTATGCACATTTACCTTATTCTGGGTGCTAGGGTCTCTCAGCTGACCACTGTTTCTGCACTTTGGAGTGGTTATTTCACACCAAAAAAAATGAAAAACGATTCAGTGAATAGGTGTTCTTTTCTCTGTGTATTAAAACTCATTCTTCAAAATAGTGTATTGGCTAGCCTGAGTTTTTCTGTGTAAAAAAAGGTCAAGTCAGATACTTTTAGGTCTAACTGGTTTTCCTGTGCTACTCTCCAGTCCTTACACCCGGGGGCAGCAGAGCTTTGTCCTGCCGGCCACTCCAGTGAGGAGTGAACGCAGGAATAAGATTGCCCTGGTACTTGCCCCTGATGCAGATCATTAGACCTTGAGCAGCTGCTCAGGTCCATTAACAGTCACTTAAGCAGCAGGTAAGGGAAGCTGCGCTGCTCTGAATTAAAGGTGAGGCTGGTAGCTGGGAATGGGGAGGGCTCAGCTGCTAGTATCCAGCATATATATTGTGTCACATTTGGGGACACGTTTTTAAACATCATGGAGAGGTTATTTATCGGTTGTCACATATGGTAGGTGAAATATGTTTTGCCGCAAGTTTTGCCAAAATATGCTATATCCGGTTTAACTGTTTATTTTGATGTCAACTATTATCATTGAATATTTAGGTGGAGTCAAGTCTAATATCAGTTAAGACATTTTCATCCCTCCATGTACTGAAAAATGCCATACAAATCTGTATATATGCTTTTTATACTGTTTAACCACAGCTGCTAGTTGACGTTCTTCAGTCCTGGAAATATCCTTCCATTTTCTAAAAAGCAAAGAAAAGTAAAATTTTAAGTAAGCAGTAGAACAGATGTAGCTTAAAACCTCCAAATTATTCCAGGCCTCGAGCTGCTTTAAGGCTCTATTTTAAGATTCAGTACTTTTTTATTTGTTTCAACAGGAGGATTAGAGGATTGAAAATGCTTTATTGATGGAAAGTGAGAACTGTTACTCCCCCCGCCTCCTCTACTCAGCAAAACTAAAAGAGAAAAGCAAGTCCATTCAATTCCCAGCCAGATCTTTAACATGTTAACATCAAATGAAAAGACATTATTCCTAAGTGAGAAGAAAAACCTTTGTATCACTATAAGTTACCCATCCTTCCTGACTTTGATTTATGCATGTGTCATTAATTCAAATTGTTCAGGAATCATCTTCAAATGGTTTTCCACAAAAATAGGAGGAAAAACCAACTGGGATGGGATGTCAGTATCCCCTCTATTTAAATACGGGGTCCCGTTAGCTGCATTTGGTGGCTAATAGGGAATGATACGGTGTGTGGTATACTATCATAATTCCAAGTACAGCCAAGTACATCTAAAACAGTCATTGTTGAATAGTATGGGTAATTTGGTATTATCCACGCTATTCCACTAGCAGAATTGGCCATGACTGTCTCCTAGGTCATCATCCAGCGAGAAAGGAAAGATAGGCTGAGGAAGCTCTGGCATCCAGGCGTCTCCCAGCGATGAAGCTGTGTCCCACACAGTTAGTTGTTAGTGCGGTGGTGAAGGCCACACCTGGCAGTGGTTACAGTGCGTCTCCTGTGAGCAGGGGCTGTGGCTCACCCTCTCGGAGCTGCTCCGTGCAGCTACGGTGGCAGAAGAGGGAGCCCGGGCGCTCTTGGTGGAGGAGGCTGGGGATCGCAGTGTCGGTGCTGCATTCAGAAAAGCCTCAGCCGCAGCCGGCGATGTGTGAAGTTCCCAGCACGCACTCAGCCCGGCTGCTCCTCACCCTCAATTGTTGATGAGCCTGGGCGCTCGTCAACACACAGGAGAGATCCCATTTTGCTTTCTGGGAGAAAGAGACGAGAAATGAGCTGCGGAAGGTATTTGGCAGTGAGAAGAGTGAAAGGCAGTTTCTTGCCAGCAGCTAAGTTGTAGAATTGCTTCAGAGGCTACCCGGGGAGCGCGATAGAATTGACAAGAAAAGAACAGACACCGTTGCAGACCAAGGCATGCCTGATTGCACGAGTCGGATCCCTGGGACGCAGCTTCCACTCCTGCTCTAACTATTTGTGACTGAATAAAGGAAACGAGACTAGAAACACAATCGCAAGTGGTGTTCCTAAAAGGAAAACACATATACTCCAAAAGGAGGAGAGGAACAATCTAGCCGGCGTGCACATTTTTTTTTTTTTAAAGGAGAACCCCTCAGGTATGGTCTTTCCTCCGCTGCATGCACTGCTTCATCTGCATGCGATTTTGTGTCTGCATTTTCTTGTCCCTTCTTTTTGTTTGCACTTGGGAATCGCAACCATGGGGTTCTCTTAGCGTAGTAGATGCATTTGTAAAATCTCGGCTCTCCTGTTTTTATAATGTACATGATTCTATGGAGCATCATGACTTCTCAGTTATTGCTTTTTCAAAAAAAAAATTCAGAATGATAAATGATTGCTTAGTTTCCAGTCAACTTTCAGGAGAATATGTACATAGGGACAAACAGGGTTGAGACGAAAGGCTGGGATATTCCATAATCCCTTGGAATTTTGGAAGAAAAAAATCGAGCTCAATAGAGAACAAAAGTTGTGGGCTTCTAGGAAAGGGTTAAAAGCCAAGATGTCAAAAAAATAGTGTGTCACCCAAGTGTTTTTCCAGCTCAGCATCCAGTCTGAAGCAGATGAAGCTTTACCAATGATTTTTTTATTTCTAGCTCTTCATCAGTTCCTCAAGAAGAAGATCCTGTAGATTTACTTTCAAGAGATGAATTGCTTAAATTGTGTGCTTGGTTCTGTTTTACAACTGTTCTGTGGTGCTCAAGGAGGCAGTCTAAAAAAATCTCTTTGGTCCAACAGCATGAGTAAACTCTAACTTCTGCAATTACATCATCGATATACTTGTATCATCAAGATAAAGACAGATATACAACAATAGTAATGTTGGCTGTCTTTAGTACCTAGACAGAGATGACAAAACTTAAAAATCAATTTTCCTTGTAAGGCTTTTAAGCAAAAAAATGAAAGAGGTTTGGGGGTGGGTAATATGTATAAAGATTAGTTTTAAAATACTCTGCATTTCTTCAAGAAGCTAAGATTGTAAGTTTATGTAATTTTGAAATTAATAAAAAAACAAAGCTTTTTAGAAAATTATCTTACCACCTTTTGCTCATCAATACTTTTCATCAAAGTGGGTTAAATTGTCAATAAATTAAATGTACATATGTTTATATTAAATGAAATTTTCTGGAGGGGAGAATTGAGAATGAGTAAGTGCTACATTTTTGTATATATAAAATATTTAATAGATTTTTTAGTGTTAACACAGAGTTAATGTCAACTAGGACCGTGGCTTTTAATTATTGTTGTTCCCACTTATGATTAAAAAGTTCAAATGTAATAGAGGTAAGTGGGCTTTAAATTGTCATTTATGCTTACGGTAAAGTAAATCACCACTCTGCTCTTTGAAAACTATAAACTTCATTTTTGCCAAATGGTAGCGATCTGGAGCACTTAGGCCGTAAACAAAATGAGAAAATCATTTGTTTGAAAATTCCACACATTGCTATAACAACAACAATGTCAAAATATGGTGAGTAAGTACAGGCAATTCTTGAGACAAGAGGAGTGATTTAGAAGATGAGCAAAGTATTAAGTTTATGTTTGTTAGCAGGGAGTGAAAAACATTCTGTGTTTCTTCTATGTTGACATCTTGTATAAAGAAGCTTATGATGTCTGTAGGTGAAACACTATAGCAGTAATCTTACTGAAACCATTAAATATTTTTTCAACTAACAAACTGATAAAAGATTATCTAAAGGAATATTTGAAACTCTAATTTACAAAGTTGTATTTTCAAACTATAAGGGAATTTTGTTTCGGTAGAATTGCCAATGTTTTTTTCAGTAGAATTTGAAGGTGGATAATAGGTATGGGTTTATTTCCCAGCATTCAATAATTTGTTGTTAGACTTCAATGAAAGAAATCTGGAAACTCCTTCCAGAGATCATCACTATGTGCTAGGTAAATTCATGCCCAGGTGAAATATGAGGTAAACTGTTAGTGAAGCCTAGAGAAATCACTTTTCATGTGCTTGTCGTTAATAAAGTAAACTGTTTTCCTTTCCAGACCATATAATAACTTGCTATGGTTGCTAGTCTTTAAATATGAAGCAATATAGTATGTGGTGCACAGAACTAGTTGCTTAAAAGCCCATGGGTCATTGGAAACACATGATAATTGCAGTGATTCCCCTTTTAAAGACAAAACACACCAAATGCATGTTGGGGCTGAAGTGGGATTGGGAGGAAGGTCAGTGCAGAAGAGAATGTACTTCATTGTCTTTGCCGATTTAGGGCAAACCTCTGTTTTTTAATATCAGACACTTTTGGTATGATGATATCTTTTCTCCAATTCTCTAGGCACTTTCATTTCTGTTAACCTTTTCAGCTAATGCAATGCATAAACCCTGCCATAACTTCTCTGAAGTATTATGCCACCTGTACATTGTCTTCCAGTTTCAACATACACATTTCTGTTATTCATTCTTTCCATCCCATAGTCTTTACTACAGAAGGGCATTCTCTAGAATTTTTGAAGACATTAGAATCACTTTGTCACCCAAGAAAAATAATCCTGCTTTTCAGCTAGAAATTTTCAGAGTTTTAAATACATGCCAAGTTTGTTTCTGAAATACACTTTTATAGCTAGAAAGCCACTTTCTAAATAGGTCATAGTTTGTACCTAATATCCATTCTTTTGGCAATATGCATTTAGAATAACTGTAGCAAAAAATTGCAAATTCAGGGTATTAAATTTGTATTTCTGTTGTTATTACAAATCCTTTCTGAATCTTAAGTTGTCTGTGGTTGGATCACTAGGCTCCGACTTTCTTCTAGCTTAAAAAAAAGGATTTATTAATAGCCCTCTCAATCTGTAGTTTTTGATCATGCAAAAGACTGGTCACCAGTTCTATAATCTCTACAGAGATAATGGATGCCACAGCAGTGTTTGTTTCACTCATCGTCTTTTAAGGCATAGGAAGGGAGACAGGAATAAATATTCTAACCTCTAGGTCAAAAGTCCTCCAAAGGAGAAGTAGACAAGAAGACACACTGAATTGTTTCTCCACCTTTTGTCAAAATGGTTGCGATGCAGTAGGCATAAATGTTTACCATCTCTTTATATCCTAGTTATATTGTATGTTTTAGCCTCAGCATAGAGAAATTAATTATAATCTTGATATGGAAGAAAGTTTTACATTACTCTTTCTATATAAAGAGTTAAAATATTTTGTAGAAATAAATGCTAGATAGAAAGATAGGAACTCAACATTATAAATTGTCCTCAGAGATTTCAAAGTATTTGTAAAAAGTAATTATAAAAGATGGGCTTCCCTTTCAAATATTTTCTTTTCTCCCTACATTTTCACAATCCCATCTTCAGCCTGTCTTTTGCTCCCAACAACCAATTTTTGTTGGCCCAAGTCCTGTGTTCAGGATAAAACATACTTTGTTTCTGAGCCTTCTGGTTCTTGAGAATCCGGGTGCAATATGTTTTTTTGATGGAGAAAAAGTGTTTTGCATGAAAATATTTTGCTTCATGTGTTTTATAAGTTGAAATTATTTACTCTAGAAGTAGCTTCTCCAAGCATGTAAAATAGAAAAAGAGGAGTGATTGGACAGAGTGGGTGGCTATTTCTATTTTATAGGTGGGAAGAACTAATGGCTTAGGCACATTCCCTGAGGCACGTTTCTGAGAGGAGGCACTGTTGATGTGGTCCCAGAATAACTGGAGGAAGAAGGGTTGTGTTTTGAATCTTGTCATTGTTAAGTGGCACACAACTGAAAAAGTCTAAATAGTTGCTTTGCTTATTAATGATAAATCTTAAGTAAAAATTACCAGTGAGGTAAAGCTAGAGAATGAATGACACATTCCAACAAGAGTCCAGTGTTTTTTCCTATCTCATCGAAAATACTGTAATTAATCAAATCCTAGCTCAGTCACCCATTGACTGGGTAAACTTAGACCATCATTTTCTTTGTAAGCCTTGGTTGTCTGTTAGACTGGTTAGATGTTCATGAAGATCCGCTCTAGTTCCCCGACTCAGAGATTCTATAGAAGCTGCATCGTGCAGACTCTGCAGGTTTGACTCCATTTGAAATGTAGCTACAGAATTACTTGACTCTGACTTGCTTCTCCTGAGAGGCTAGAGGTTTGGTCGTGTTCGTGGTTTTAGAATTGAGTAAGAAATTTGTCAACTTGTTTTCCTTCAGACAACTAAGCAGAAGTATTGGCTTAATTATAATCCATGGAACTGCATGTTTTGTATAGGCTCTTTACTGTGACTCATAAAATATTTGCTGTAGCTGTGATAGATGTTGAATACTGCTACTTCGTTAACAAGAAACAAATAGCATTAGGATACGTAGCTGCTAACTTTTTAAGAGTCATTTATGGAACAATGCTTTTAAAAGTAAAGTATATGTACCTACTCTACTTAGTTACTGGAATAGATTGACTCTCTCCAGTGTCTTCCTCTCTGAACTGGCACACCTGATGAGAATATGTTTGACAAAGGAGGACTGTAGGGAGCTCTCATGGCTGAAGGGGAAATTTAACTGTGAAGCTTCTCAAACCTAAGGAAAATTTGTATTTCCTTTTCACTTTCAAAGAGGGTTGATTGGTAGGAGGCAAAATATATGGATAACTTCATATATGTAAAAGTTAATATTTGATTCTTCTTAGAAAATAATCCCTAAAATTAGAAGATTTTGCTTAATTACACAAGAAGTTGCCACAGTATTATTGGTGAGTGGTTGAAGAGCATATTTTTAAAAATAATAAATGTAATGCTTGATAAATAAATACAGCAAAGTAAAAAAAATGCCTCCCATATTTACTTTCATTCTCCATTTAGCCTTGAGTGGGAACATTCCTGATCCTCTCTTTCTACTTTTTGTCTTGGTGACCTGAATTTCTTAAGTGGCCTCTATTACCTCTTTGACAGGATTTCCACTAACTTGTCTCAAAAGTCAAGAAATTCAACTCTGGGTCTCTTAAGCAGCTCCTCTTCCTGATTGCTTCAGTTTCTCAGACCCAACTCTCAAATCATCCTCACTGCCTTATCCTCTCTCGTGGCTCGTATTCAATTACTCTTGTTTTCTCTTTAACACATGTTCTCCAACCATGTCTTCTGTTATCTTCCTATTAACACCACCCT